TCGAATCGGTTTATTTAATAACTTTTGATATACTAAATATTATATTTTATATATTATCTTTTTGAAAGCTCAATTGATTAATGTATTAATTGTAATTTAGAATTGAAATCCAGGTAATCCAATAATAGGTATATAAGACATTACTTCATTTTTAAAACATTTTTTTTTTTTTAATTTAATAAAATTATTCATTGAAAATAATTGCATTAATTGTTATAGTGAAATAATGAACTTTTAAAGAAATTAATAAATAGTAATGATTAAAAAATCAAAATATCTCATGATTAAAATATTACGGAGACGAATCGTCCGCGGTTCAATAGACAGAATCTATAATGATCAATCTTTATTTCAATAACCGTGGTCCGTGGGTTGGACCTTGGACACTTGGAATCACRATTAAAAATTCTATTTAGAGCCCTTTATACTCGTGGTTGTGCGGTTACAATATTACCGTGCTCGTTTGCGCCGACATTTCGGTTACTTGCCAGTGGTCACACCGACACTTGGCATTGCGACGACCACGACTCACTCACTCGACGTGACGTCGTTGTTGACGTTGTAGACTTTGGTGTCATTCTTGCGTATGGATGATGTGTCGGCCACACCAGACCTCGATGAAGGGCATCCTACCGATTTACCTCGTTTGTCGCCGCCGCCGCCGCCAGGATCGTACTCCAACTCCTACTCCGTTCTACCGTCGCCGTTTCCGACTTCCCGTTTAGCGTTCGGTGGTTCGGTCTTTACACTCTTTTCGTCTTTTCACGACCTACCCGCTCCGCAGCTCAACGCCTTTTTACCGCCCGCTCTGCCGACTGGTGCGCATGTTCGAAGTCGAACACGCTTAAACGCTTTGATTACAATTTTCTGTACGTAAGATTTTGGAGTGTGTACGAAAACAGTAATTTAAAGTTTTCGAACCACGTTTGGCCGTTGTTATTAACAATTCGTTTTTTTTTTTAGCTTGTTCGACATCACCCAACCGCAAAATGAGCTTGTTCCGTTCGACCGCCTCAAAACTCTTGGAAATCAATCAGGTAAGTTTAGACAGGAAAACTGYGGCCTTTTAATGCTCGGAAASGTTTTGTTTTAAAGTTTGTTTTCAGTTTTTCCCCTCTCACCACCACTCGCGTTGTTTGGGTGTTTTCCGCCGAGTTACTTGTCCAATTTCCCCCTACCGATAATCGATTTATCAACCATTTGTGATACTTTGCTGGACATCCCTGRTTATATTATACTAGTATACACGCGGGTTTCCGAGTTTTGATTCTAAATTTTAGTATTTTACCGTAAGACTTACTATTTTCCTYATTTCCCAAAATTATGTATGAGGCCTTGGATAGGTAATCTAATTTACCTATTACTCTGTGTGAGTTGTGTAAACGTAAGCCTAAATGTGGTGGGGTACCTATAATATTATATTTATGTGAGTGTTTAAATATTTTTTGTGACCTATGTTATCAATACACAATTTAACCTAACAGTTTTGAGTTATTAGGTAATTACCTATTTCATAAATGACCTCCATCAACCTTGAGGTGTTGGAGTAGTTATCTTCAAACTGCATTAAACAATTGGCAACATCTCCAAATTTATTTTTTATTTTAATATAATGAATGGAAATTGCTTACATTTTTGGGACCACATCCAATTTTATTTTTTAGGTATTGGGTCATGGTTGAGTTATTACTTATTGAGTGGTAGAAACTTGCTTCCAAATTTGACAATAACTTAATTTTAGTTGATTTAGATCCAGGCAGRTATATATTATTCTATTTTTAATTGTTTTTAATATTTTTTTTGCCATAAAAAATGTAWAGCTTTAGTTAGTTTAGTAATTATCAGTGTCAGATAAGCAAGGTATCAAACTASCAAGTCTCATGATTTCTAACTTTGTTGACTACAGTTAGGTACAAATACTGGACARTTCAATAATTTGATTAAATTGTATTTTCTTCTAATGTTCATATTAATTTTTCATTATCATATAAAAATAAAATTATAGCCAAACACTCACGATCGGTCCATATTTTAAGTGGCCCAAAGAGATTATATTTGTAGTTCACTGAGCCAGGCCACTGAGCCAATCCTGGTCCTAGTAACTGTAAAATGATTCAATTAGTATAAAAATCCTATTGCAAATTTCCAAATTGTTTTTTTTTTTTTTTTTTGTCTTATTACTTAAACTGTGATGAGGGCTTAAGATAATTTCCTTTAGACTTAAAGAGACATTTGAATCATGTCTATAATATAACTTTGATTTATAGATAGGTACTAGTTACATAATATTGTTTATAAAACTATTGAGTTAAATTTGTATGTCTATTTTATTTGAAAGTAAACATAAGATTTAAATATTTAGTAGTATACAGTAACTTAAAATTTTTTATGTCAATATTTGTAGTATGCTTGTGGTGAAATGGGTGATTTTGTACAAAGCCTCTCTATTTTCAAAGCCATGCATTTTAAATAAATTTAGTTTTTCTTTTTTATTATATACCAACCTAGTACCCAGTATATGATATGATTCTAAGTGTATAATCTGTTTAAGAGGACGCTACACCCGCAATATTGTCTCCATCTTGTACAAGAGCGTAACATKGCAAATTTTACGCTCAGCAGATCACATTTAACTCTCTTAGTTTAAAATTTAGAATGAATTGACTTCTTATAAAAATTGAAGGTACCATTATTACCGAGGGCTCCTCATGGGCTTTTTATTATATTTTGTTTTTAAAGCGAGTTATGAGTATTTTAAAATCTAAATTATTTGTATATCTTAAAATACTCATAACTCGCTTTAAAAACAAAATATAATAAAAAGCCCTCRATAATAATGTTACCTTTAATTTTTATAAGAGGTCAATTCACTCTAAATTTTAAACTCACAGAGACACAAGTATTCTGCAGAGCGTAAAAATTGCCATGTTACGCACTTGTAAGACGGAGGCAACACATGTGGGTATAACATCCTCTTAAGAGGACGCTACACCCGCATGTGTCGTCCCCGACTTACACGCGTACTACATAGCAAATTTTTGTTCGCTAGATTCAATAGTGTGCTGTTAGTTTTAATATTAGAGTGAATTGACCCATTATCAATTTTTTAGGAAGGAACATTATCTGTGTTCTCATGTTGGTTTTTTACGATATTTAGTTATGAGCATGTTAAGTGTGAATATTTGAAAATTCACATAACTCATTTAAAAATTAAAATATCATAAAAAACCAACATGAGAACACAGATAATGTTCCTTCCTAAAAGTTTGATAATGGGTCAATTCACTCTAATATCAAAACTAACAGCACAATATTGAATCTAGCGAACAAGAATTTGCCATGTAGTACGCGTGTAAGTCGGAGACGACACATGCGGGTGTAGCGTCCTCTTAAGCCTATTCCTTCATTCTGCTGGTTTCTTGTTTGGCATTGATAATTATCACTGCGTTTATTCTAACTACCACGATAATCTTAATAAATTAGGATTTGCATCTTTAGCCGAATGCAGGCGTATGCTTTGTGTAAAGTTTATATGTATAATACCTATATCAAA